GCTAAATGCATACATACATAATTTTGAATTAGTTACAGAATACAGAATAATTTCAAGAAGTTTCAATTTTGTGAAGGAAAGAAATTTCGAAATCTGACTTTTATAATGGACCAAGTGTATCCGAACCTTTAGATAAGTACGATATTTTTCGTACTTTGACCCCTTCTCACTTACCACTTTGCTTTCCAATCCCGCCCTCCCGTACGACGGCCAATCTCGAATCTTTCCATTCCTGCACGAGGTCGAACTTCAGGGCCAAATCGGTCCCGATCAGTTGCGTTGCTACGAGATCAACCCTGATGGTCACGTTGGTCGCAGAATTTCGGGTTGGTGGCGGTGAACTCGCGGAGCATGCGTCGCATACCACGTGCTGCCATCACTCCGAATTTCGGCCCGGTGTGGGAAAGGAAGAAGGCGGAACACGATTATTGCAAGGACAACGGCGGTTATGATACATTCGACTATTTTTGGAAAAATACTTTCGTCCCCCTTTTCCACAGGGGGAGGAGGAGGAGTAGGAGGAAGCGGAGTGTCGGGGAAGGCGGACATTTTCAAAATTTCGCGGCACAACGGGATTTAAGTAAAGTAAACGTTTCGTTAATTTTAATTTATTGTAGAAGACACACAAATATTTCAATTTTTTTTGCAGTTTAGAGTTTATGACGTATTTATGTAGGTACAAGTTTTTTGAAAAATTAAACTTAAAATTTTGCGGAATGGAGGAAGGGTATATTTTATCTCAAAAAAGGAGACTAATCCTTTACTTGAAGGGACAGTCTATTAAGGGAACGTCCATATATTACGGCATCATTTTAGTCGATGGGTGGTTTAGGTGTTCGTATCTTTCCCATGTTAAAATTCCGTATCCTTTTAATGAATACGTGGGGTGGGTGAGTGGGTGCTAGAGTCAAGGGTTTTTGACGACGTAATATATGGATGGATTGCCCTATAGTAGTTCTGCGTACTGATTTTTGTATTGATAGTATCAACTTGATACGTTGCATTCATTTTGATGGAGACAACCAGGATTTCGTATTTCCCGACCAAGATCATTTTTTACCAGGGTGGCTTGGAAAAAGTGGGAAAAATAGGTTTTGTACCGTTAAAAAGTGGGAAAAATAGGTTTTTTACCGTTCAAAATGGGAAAATATGTCGGTCCATTAATTCAGTTATGACTTCTTAAATAAGCAATAATTGCAGAATTGGACTTAATATTTCATCGCAATGAATTTCGGCAAATTTTGAATGTAAGGCAGATATCTTTGCACGATTTTGATTTTCGAGGTTGCTCGTATTACCAACTTATTTGGTTGGGATGTGATGCAGAATGTGAATAAATGTAACGTCAAATTTTAAAGATGTTAGGTTTTAAAGAAGTGGTTTCGGATTACTCCAAACCAGAGTTTTTCACATTTTGACGATTTTCCAGCTACATATTTTGGGTGGGTGGTAAAATTGGCTTTCTTTCCGATTTTTCTCGCTGCCTTGGTCAATTTGGTTTTTACCAATCGACACCCTATTTCAACCAAGGGTTCGAGAAATAAGGTCCGTCAAGCGTACATTCCCTGTATATAATTAAGTACTGTATAATTAGTATACTAGTTATTTTATAGGAGATATTTTAGATTTTAAAATATTTCTGTATTTCAGAAATAATTTGTCTTTTAAAAAACATTGAGTTCTTGTAAGAATTTAAAATACTTGCAAGAATTTAATGAAAAAACATTTCGATTTTAAAATAAACTGTTTTTAGAACCCTGTATGAATTGGTAAGAAAAACTGGGTTATTTTAGGCACGAATTTTCACGAAATATTCAGGCTCACGTAAATAAAATACTAGACCCTTGTCACGATTATTTATTTAAAAACAACCTTTTACGGGGCAATCAACCCTTCATAGACCGAAGCTTGATATTTAACAAAGTCCTTAAACTTATTTTTATTCCTCTAATCCTAGCCTAACAAAGCTGCATATGAAACAACCCAAATCAGAATTTTTACCCGAACGGAGCTTTCTATATTTATAATGTTTGAAAATTCGTGTCAAAAATTTATGAAGGACAAAAATTTGGACAACTTACATATTTACATATTTAAATTAACCAGAGCAACACAATCCTGGGGAATATTCATTCACGTTACGACAGGTAAATATCTATGGTAAATATGTATGTATACTTATTTTAATTAGATCGGGTTGGTCCAACTTTCACAAATGAGGCCGCCCATGGTCAGAAAGTCAAATTCGGGTACGACCGGGATCGTTAGCCCTTTTTTGGTGAGGTATCTTGTTAGAAGGGACATTTTTGCTAACGGTTCAACGGTTATGGTCTATCAAACAAGATAAATTTAATACGTGCGTTTATACAATGTGCGGAATTATTGGGAAATAAATACAATGTCGGCATAAACTTTTAACACCCTTTCGCCATTTCGATTTGGGCTCGTCCATAAATTACGGGACGTGAAAGGGAGAGGGGTGCCCAAGACGCCAACAATATCGTGACTACGTGACGTGTGTTCGGGGGCCTAGAAAATCGCTATTTTTGCGCTACGTAATTTATGGACCGCCCCTTCGGAATTGTACGGTTAACTTTAATTTGCATTAAATTTTAGAACATGGAAAATTTCGATTATCCATAATTATTAATTTCTTGGTGCAAATCTGGCCACGTTTTCCTGCAGTAACTCTCTACCTTAATATCTATGCTGTGGTATCCGATCACATTATCTGTGGTGCAACGTTTCTTATTTTTTTCAAAATAAAACTTGGCACTTTTTTCTGGGAAAGTTTCGGAGCTATTAAAAAAGGGTGTAACTGAGTAATTTAATTGATCACCATGGCTCCTTCATTGATCTCAATGATGCCATCCAGACTGGAGAGGTTAATCCCGGTCATCCTGCTCTTGTAGGCGGGACTTCTCAAAGACAAAGTTTCCCACCCGGGTCTCGCAGTGCATAATTTTTTTCGCCTCCCGTTTTTGTACTAGGTTGAAATCTGCAAAAGTAATGCGAAATCAGGAAATTGTATAATGTGAAATACATAAAGGGTGTTGGTTTAATTCGTCCCAATTTTTCCTAAACATTTGAAAACTTCTTTTTTTCTTGTCGACGTTATGGTGCTCATCATTAGATAGTAGGGCATGCAAAACCGGTTTTTCCGATTTTGTAAAACCGGTTAAAAACCGGTTTTCGATTTACCCGAAAATCGCTTTTATAATTTTCAAAAAACTCGAAAACCGGTTTTCGATTTTTGATGCAAATTGTTTTAGAATCACGTATTAGAACCACGTATTCGCTATTTTTGTTTTGTCCAAAACTAAATTGTTCTGTAGTGTTTTTTCAAATTAATGCTCAAAGTTTGTTCAACTTTAAAGTTTACCGCGTTATATTTAACACATTTCTAAAATTTGGTAGAAAACCGGTTTAAAAGACCGGTTTGAGACAGGTTTTGGATAAAATCGAAAACCGGTTTTACTAAAGTTTGCCAAAATCGGAAAAATCGAAAACAGGTTTTTCAAAAGTTTCCGATTCTTGATGCCCTATTAGATACTAATCTTGATTCTGCGCATGTAAAATTTCCAGAAAAACTTGTTTGAAAGGCATGCTTAAATATGGTTTGAGTCTAGAAACCGTTATCGGCAATAATTAAATTGACACCCTTTATACCAGATTTGTAACACTATCCAATATATGTACCTGTTTTTTGTACCTGGTCCACCTTTCTGGCATGGACTTCCGGCGAATTCACCACCCCTTTACGGGAAAATTGTGGAAAATAAATTCCCACCCGTATAAAATCAGGTGGACTACGGCTCGTCTAAAAATTCCGAATAGGGATCCGTATTTTACAAAGTGGAAAGTTACACGATCAAAAAATGTTAATTTAACGATTTTTCAACTTATTTCAACTACAAGGGACAAAACTGAATTTTAGCTTGGAGGTGTTATTGCATATTTATATTTCAGAATATGTAGAATTTGTAAAAATTTGCATATTTACCTGATTTATTTCCCGGGAAAATTTTATTGCAAAACACCTTGAAATATTTTCATATTAATTCTGGTTAAAAATTCTTCTAATTAATCTTAATTCAGTTATAGTTTGAGTGTTCTGTAAATATGTATAGATGTCTTGGGAAATTGGACTCATTTGCATATGTAGAAGGGTCTTGAGTAGTTGGGTACTTATGCAAATAAACCGTCGCAAACGCGCATACGGAAGTAGCTTCAGACTCACTTCACCCCAACGACACCCACGACATCGCGGGTACACTTCATTTCAATGTATTTCATCCATAGATTCAATTTTTCTAAAAATCTCATTTTACCCCGACCACACCCGCTGGCCCCCAGGGGGTGTGGAACAACTCCCAAACACTTAATTTGACTCTATTTCATCCATAGATTAAATTGCACTAAAAATCTCATTTTGCCCCGACCACACCCCCTCAAACCCAGGGAGGTGGTCCGTTTGCCCCCAAAAGTTGATAGGATCCTCCCCGTAGGGTCATATGTATGATGCCGCAAACCGATTTCGATTATCTCGATCCGTTCTCACGTTATCCTGCTGACAGACAGACGGACAGATAGACTGACAGACAGACAAAGTCTTCACATAAAGTAGCTGAAGCCACTTAATAATTTATCACGTAAGGGTAACTAGAGGCGAAATCCTGCTCTGTCAACGCTCAGGTAATTAAAATATTACCGATACCGGAGGCAATTTCTTACCCTCCGAAGACAATTTGTTACAATGTGTTACCACGCTGTGTACCTCCGCCGGTAACAATTATTTCGAAAAATTATTAAGAGTGTAGCACCAATTTTCATACATGTAGCCAATAGGGCTGACAAAATAACTGAATGATAAATCTTGAACTGTATTTGGTCGAGTTTTAATAAAAAATTAAAGTTATCAAAGAATTGGAAAACGGGCGGATGATACGAATTCTTTCAGGAGTCAGGAGTTTTAGAGTTTTGTTTATTCAATTTATTACAAAATGTGGACAACAAAATTTAGACAGAAGTAACTATATTTGGACGATACAAATCTGGCCTGGAAGAAATGTGGATGTGCGTAAAATGTCTCGAAACTTTATTTTTTCGCGTAATTAAAATTAAAAATCAGCAAAACTCAAATTTTGACATACATAACCTCCATAATTCAAGGTAAAAATTCCGTCCGCGAATAACTATGATAAAAATGGAACAAAATGATACACGTTATCGTTCCATAAACTGTGAACAGAAGTTCTACAAGGGAACCACCGGGGCTTAAATTTTCGACGTTTTTCTTCTCATCCGACCTTTGAATCTTTCTAAATTGAAACCCCATCTCCAGGCAGCTTAATTTACTCAAAGCTGAGGAATCCCCCCAGTTGACTTGCATCTCACACTGCCCCATCGTAACATCAACCCGCCAAGGATTTGAGCTTCTCTTCAAATCGATTGAATTTTCAGTTGTGGGTGTTAGTAAATTGAACGGTTCGGAGATGTTCCACTGCAAAGCGACTCTATTTTGAAATTCCCGGGTGGAGTAAATCTTGACGACGTAGTGTAAAGCGTCAGTTTCGTTGAATGGACTGGAAGTCGGGGCCGGGGAGGCGAAAATGTTGAGGGATTGGGTTCGCATCACCTATTTAAATATAGGAATTTATGCATTTGAATGTAAAATTCGTCATTTACAAGGGAACCTTTTTTCAAGCTAGACCTGGATCATTTGTCGAAATATGTTTTAAACAAATCAAAAATTATGGATCAGATGGCGCTTATCTTTCCTTGAATATTCCTTTGGAAGAAAGGTGTTAGCGGTAAAGTTCAATTTTTTAGTAAATTTTCTCTTTTTTTCTTCGGGGCGAAGACCTAGGCATTCGTGGGCAAAGTTCGGAAAACCCTGGAGTTTTTCTACAAAAACCTAACCACGGGGGGTTTTTCCGGGGATTTTGTGGGTCTTTGGGTTTTTGCGGGTTTTTGTAGATTTAGGGGCAAGTTGAAGCAAAATTTATAAAATTATCTATTAGAGTAAAGCAAGTTTAATATTCGAATTCAACATTAAATTTGAAGTTTTTTCCTTGAGTTAGATTTGTAAGTCAAAAGTTGATATAAGCCTAATAGGCAACCAGGGATATTGGAAATTCAGATTGCAGATAAAAATGGTCAAAATTTCATACCCAATCCAAATATTTAATTGGTATAGATTCAAATTGCAGTCGCAAGTGTTCTGTTTCAATCTACCCCAAAATGTGTAAAAACGATGGAAAAACCCACAAAAACCCCATTAAGCATTATGGGTTTTCCAGGGATTTGATACTCCAAAAACCCCAAAGACCCCAACGAACAAAAACCCGGGTGACGTGGGTGCTTTGCCGTTAAGGTTTGTTTTCTTCAAACCGGGTATTCAACGAACTGATTAGAGCCATGTGATTTCTAATTTTTGACTAGATTTCTGGACATAACTCGTTCGAAAATCCCTATTTAGCTTGGAAAATGTTTTATTGTTTGTTGAACACGTTAAATTAATGATAATCTCATGCTCCGAAAGGATGCAATGGATATTATAAAGTGTAGTACTCATGATAGATGTTTAACGCAAAACGGTGGATTCTGTTGCTTTGCATGAAATTATTCCTTCACTGGAAATTCCATTGAAATTCTATTAATTCCAGTCTGAAATTATTAGAATTTCTTGGCAATGTCTACCAAATGAGAATGTTTCTTGAAATGAATTTTACTTGAGTTTATTTTTCATTTGAAACATCCTTCCTGAGTACTACGCTTAAATCAGTAAATTTTGAGGTAGATTTTGCAGTTATTACGTACCCCGCCATCTAGCCGCAGCCAGGTTGCCTCGCTGCTCTTCTCCGCCACGTGGGCAGGCTCCGTGGCCAGGGATGGTTTCCAGATGGGGGTAAAGTCCCCATCTTTTCTCACAATGGATTCCACATTCATCATTTTTATATCTGGAATAAAGAAAAATTCAGAAACTTTTAATTTTCTATTTCATCCACACACCAGCAAACAGGTGAAGGCACATTAGGAGCGGTCCATAAATTATCTCACGCGAGAGGGGGGGGGTCTAAGGCTGCAATGATATCTTTCCTATGGGGACGTTCATAAACTTCATAACGCAAATTTTCGGTTTTTTGGACTTACCCACCCACCCCCCTTTAACATGTGTCACATAGGCACGATATCATTGGCCCTGACCACCCACCCACCCCCCTTTGCGTTATGAAGTTTATGAACGTCCCCTATGTTAAAGGGGGAGGTGGGATCTATAAAATCTCGATTTTTGCGTGAAATAATTTATGGATCACCCCTTACGTAGGCAACCTAAGTACGTTATCGATTTTAGGGAATTTTTTTGACCTCTTCCCCACGGCATGGCTTATACTCTCCATTTATACACTCTTAACAAAATCAATACTATTTCAATACCACGCGGTATACATATATGACTCTACCGCTGTAGTATTGATTTAATACTAAATAGTATTGTCGCTGATACCGGAGCAGTAAAAATAGTGGGGTTATTGGTATTCACATTAAACCGTGTCAGTATTATATGGGGTGCGCACTGTGGTATTATTCTTATTCACTGTGGTATTGAATGATCGTGAGCGCTCTATACCACCTAGTATTGCATGCGTTGAGCATATTTATACCACGCAGTATTGTGTAATTACCATGGCAGTAATGAATGCGAAAATATGGTAATGAAACGTTTCTCGTTTAATTATATTTTTTTATTGCACAATTAAACGCTTAACGTAGCAATTACAATTATTTTGAATTAAAACAACATTTATAAACATACATAGATAGGAATAATAAATAAATATGCACCCAAATATTAATTAACATGTTATTTGACAAAATTTACAGCTAAATTCTTAATACTACACCACTTATCTAAATACTACAAGTAATGTCTCGAAATCACGAAATTTCCAGCAACATTGCAATTATGCTTCAACTCCATGGCATCATGAGTAATTAGATTATTTACATTGACTACTTTAAAAATATTCTCCGTCTCCTTAATTTTATAGGCAAACAGATGCCGATCAAAATACTCGGTGTCCAGCACTTTAAGAATTAATAGACAAGTATTTGATTCGTATAAAATAAATTCATAAATAAAAATTCAGGTCAAACTGTTTATTATATCCTTACCCCTTTATCTCTATAAGTTTTGACACAAATTCATTAATGAGAATTGTCGAAGATTTATCGTCCACGAAGCCTTTACTCTTGCAATCTTCGACAATACCGTGTATTACATTGTTTTGTTGAACCGTGGTTTGGAGAATCTAAAATAATAGTTAGTAAAGTTGTTATAATAATCTGGCACAATTAACTAAGTATGTACTGTACTTGTTTAAAATTATCCCCTATTCCAAACGATTGAGAAAGCCCAATATTTCCTGCCGCAGGTAAAACTACAGACAAATATTATTGCATATTAGTACGATAACTTTCACTCATTAAAAAAATATCACACTTATTCAATGGAATTTCCTCAACAGTTATAGCTTAAAAACTGAAAATGGTAATATACTAGACTAGAAGTGTTTATTCGAAAAAGACTTACAATAACTTGATTGCGATGTATTATTGTAGCTTAGGTCAATTTCCAATACTGACGACTCTTCTTCTAGCTTGAATATGATATTTTGAATCCCATCTAGGCTGACCAAAATTGGGAAAACATCAGAGTCCACCTCGGCACCGTATTCATCCACGAAAGTAATATTTTCTGCTTCATCCAACTCAAATTTGCTTCTTACTAATAAATACAAAGAAAAAGTTCGCAAAACTTTAATAAATCCCAATAAATACTGTTTAAAAATAGTGTAAGGATATGTTTGCTTACCTGATGATAGAAATTCTTCAAAATTTCCGTCGGATGAAATTAATTTCTTGCCCCTAATATTATTTGAAACCCGAACTAGTTTAGTAGAACTCATTGTGAAAAAAATTATGGAAAAAAATAAAGGAGAATGAAATGAAGGAGAGTCACTACTGGCTCCCGGGCGAGCGTCGTGTAACGGCCAAACATGAGACAAGAAAATTTGGTATTATATCAATACCAATATTGCAGTCTTTCAATACCATGGGCAGTAAAATCTATACAAATTCTCTCGGTATTGAAAATGTTACGTCTGGTTTTAACTTGTAGTATTGTTTCAATACCGAAATTGTGCTATGAACTTAATACTGCGATGTTGGTATTAAATTCTTTTTAGAATCAATACCCAGTTTCTTACAGTGTAGTTAAAATAGGAATGATAGCATGCCTTGATCCCTAGCTCCCTCGAATAGATCACGTGTTCTTAAAACTTGGCACATTCTTAAAACACATTCTAGAAGCTGCTTTTCTGAAGGGACAGCAAACATACCTGACAAACTTATGTACGTTACATAAATATACCAAATTCTCTCATTATGTATGAAATGCACCAACAAAATTTACAGCATAAATAGGTACATAATTTTAAAATCGGATTTTTAGAATGTACCAATTTTGTCAAGTCTGCCGTACGGGTCCGAGCCGATAGGCAAATACGAGTACTTGCTTATACTTAACATCCTTTTATGTACTATGGCGTGTCACCTCATTTGCATAAATATCACTATACCCATTTTCCAGGATGTATTTTAGGAACGCTTTTTTACGAAAATTTTACGAATCGAATATCGAATTTTACGCAAATAGGTGCCATTAATATATTACGTCGTCAAAAGTTATCGATTTTACCACAAACGGTTTGTGATGAAATCGATAATTTTTTATAGAGAATTTTAATACGTGAAGAACCAAACCACCCGCCCACGAAAATAATGCCGTAATATGTGGACGTTCTCACACGCAAGTAAAGTGACTAGGACAAATATTTTGCCTGCTATCGAATTTTTATAGCCGTTCACCTCATTTGCATAATTTGACGCATTCGCGAGAATTTGTTCAGCACGGAAGGCCCGCATCGCCGGAAATGGGCATAGTGAGATTTATGCAAATGAGGTGACACGCCTAAATGCGAGGATAGTATATCTTTTGTACTTTAACCCCCCAAAAAGCATTCCACTCACCGCTTGGCAATCCAGGTTTGCCCTTCCGTTTCACAACCAATCTTTCATCTTCCCATTCCTGCACGAGCACGAAATTCAGGGCCAAATCGGTCCCGATCAATTTCGTGGCTACCCGATCCACCCTGATTGTTACGTTGGTCACCGAAAATCGGGCGGGCAGGGAGCTCGGGGCGTATGCGTGCCAACGTATCGCCTCCCAGGTGTCGCCATCACTCAGAATTTCTGCTCCATCAAACAGGGGAAAAGCGGCGGACACTAATAGCGTCAAGGTGACAGCGGGCATTATAAATGCGGAGAGTTTTTCCCACAGAGTTTCGTCCCCCGCTTCCTCAGGGGGAGGGGGAGCATCAGGAAGTGGAGTTTCGGGGAAGGCGGACATTTCTATAATTTTTTGGCACAATGCGAAAAAGTGTAAGCTTGAATTTATTTTAAATAGAAACACCAAGATTCGTATATTTTTTTGCAGTTTGGATTTAATTTAAGTACTTTGAAAATGTATTTAAAATTTTGAGGTGGTAGGGATTTTGTAATTTTGAAGACACTGAAGGGAATGCGAAGGGGTTGAAGGGCGGAAGACAAGTGAAGGGTGGGAAGGAGGAAGGGTACCTTTTTACCTGAAAAAGGAGACAAATCCTCTACTCGAAGGGACTGGATTATACGCTAATGAATATGCACGCAGGGATCGTCCATATACTACGTTATCAAAAATTCTCGATTTTACCACTCACACACCCAACGTAAATATTTTGGGGTAGGGAATTCTAACATGGGAAAGATATATAGCAAGACCTATACCACCCACTTACTAAAATGATGGCGTAATATATGGATGTTCCCATACGGTAGGGTGACGAGGTGTATGATACGGACGCAATATCCTTATGAAAATACATACATATTAACATGCTTAAAATGACAAGTAGATATATAATATATATATATACATATTTTTTTTTCGTTAAATACATTTAAGGGAATTGCAACCCTTATATTCATATATTAAACCCTTAATTATTTTAAACCCCACTGACACAAGTTTTTCACGGGTTGTTGGCACCAAGTGACAATGAACGATTAGCATTTGAGGGTACACTGCGATTTTAACAGTATTCAAAAACTTAAATATTTATTTAGATACATACATATTTTTTAGATACATATTTACACATTTCTGTAAACACGTACATATGTAGGGCCCGTACATAAAGCATGTCACCAATTGTCGGGGAATTTGGACCCCTTCTCTCCGCTTTGACCTAAATATGTGCCCAATGTTATAATTATCACGGGAAGGATGGCCTCAGTGTTTCGGGTGGAAGCAACCACCTGCAAGAAATAACCGCAAGAAAATGGTTTCTTGCAGCTATTATTACCCGCAAGAAATGCAAGGGCAAGAAACTCCTTCCCGCCGCTGTAATTCTTAGGCGAGGGCGTTGCATTTCTTGCAGTTTCTTGCACCTTGCATTTCTTGCAGGTTCTTGCACCTTGCATTTCTTGCAGGTTCTTGCACCTTGCATTTCTTGCATTGCAGTGCAAAAATTTAAGCAACCCCGCAAGAAACGATACGCTGGATGGCCTGTGTTGACCCTCACCCGCCTCGAATTGGTGACATGCTTTGTGCACAGTCCCTTACAGGAATTTAAAGTTCTAAAAAAAATTAATTCACCTTTTTCACAAAAACTTGGTTATTTTAGGAATTAATCCTCACGAAATATTTAAACTCATAAATGCACAACCCTTTGCACCATTGTTTGAAAACGAACCTTTTTACAGGCGACAGACCCTGCATTGTTCGAAGGTTGGTATTTAACAAGGTAAATTTATTTTTAGTCCAGCAAATATCCTAACCTCACAAGCCGGAGTCAGGGCTTGCCTATGTATATATTGAAAAATGGAAAATAGTTTTACACTAAAATACTAAAACGATGAGGATAATAAATAACACAAGGACTTCTCAACTAATCGAATACTTCGAAAAATTGCATTATTCTAACATTATTTCCACGTAAATGATTTTCGTGCATTTTCATGCACTTTTCCGGATTTTTAATTGGTGTTATTAAACGTTTAAAAACATTTGTATGCACTAATTTCGTGCAGGTGTTATTTAGCAGCAGAAACACTGATTCTGGGCATACTTTTTTAAACTTTTTACAATTTTTTCCGGTTTGTTCACTTCGAAACCCGGCCTTCATTTAGAGACGGTTCCGAATTTTCCTGGTTCAAAAATTCGGAACGCTTTTGGTTTTAGGTCGAATTGCATAATTTATTAGGGACAATGCAATATGGTATAATCTTTTTGGCATAAACCAAATGGGTATAATGGTACATAAGGGACAATTAAAACAGGGATAATTATACGAAAATCAAAATTAAATTTTAAACAGTCTTGTAGTTGCGAAGGCATTTGCCAATAGGTCAAGATCAGTGTTGTAGATATGATTCTACAATCAAGACAAGTCGCGTATCCAGGTCCCTGTAAATTTTACACTGTGGTTCGACTTGCCCAGATTTCAATTTTTCGATTTCCAAATTCCAATGGCTTTGTTCATTTTGTAAAATTTCAATGGCAAATATAGTACTCTGTGTCAGTCTTGCAGTGTAGTTTTTTGGTACAAGTAGCGTTTTCAGTGGACATGGTTGTGAATGTGACTGTGGAGTGCAAGGAGAAGGAATGGAATGCATTTTGGTCCCTTTAAAGCTTAAAGTATAATTATCCCTGATAGAATTATCCCTGAGTTACATTATACGAAATGGTTCCTACAAATTATACCAACAATATTATACCAAATCAAATTATACCAGGAAAATTATGCAATTCGACCGCACACCCATTTTACACCCAGAATAGTTTAAAGATTTGTAGGAAGAATTTCAAAATTTCAACAACATAACGTCCTGTTGAACTTCACACCATCGCTTTGTAAGTAAAATGCAACCCAAATTATTTAGAGGGAAGACGAGAAAAAGCAATAAATCGGGGATAGAATCAATGTTTATTTTAAAATTTTGAGTACATAAATTTTCATTTAAACAAATTAACGTATTTGACCAAATTAATTAACAAGGAAGGAATAATTTTGAACAAGGATGTAGATACGGGAAATTCCCCAAGTTTCTATTTATCAAATTCTCGCCGAAATTTTTTCATACACGTCGGGAAACGCGTCCTCGCAGTTGAGCTGCTTCCGAACCTTGTTGTACAGCGTGGGATCAAACATTTCGTAAAATTCGTCCCGGCTTAAGAACGTGTCCGCGTAGATATGAGGGCTTTCCAACTGTACGGGGGCAATTAGAGAATTGAATTTTCTAATATTTTCAAAAAAAGCTTGTTAAAAATCTCGGGATTTTTTTACCATTTATTTTTAAGGCAGAACTGTTCATATATTTTATTCGATTTGACCAGCTCGTAATCATCGAGGTTCTTTGGCACTCCATAAATTCCAATGTCAAGCTGCATCGTGTCGGGGTTCTCGTCAAATTTAAAAAATCCCGGTTCGTTGAACGACTTGCTGGGGCAAAGCCAGACGGGATAAATCTATTTAAATGAATAAAGCGATGAATCAGGGTACGTGTGGATTTTTAGGTTTCTGGGGCTCATGTTAGGTTAGGGTAGCCAAGACCCCGGGGTTTTCAAATTTAATAAACTATTTATAATAAGGTTTTGTTACGGAACAATTTTAAAAATTCATTAATCATTATAATATCTTGATTGACGAGAAGCTTTGTCTGCGAAATTGCGGATAATGCAGCACAACTTCCTACATACACGAGACACCGACTCAGAATGCGATAAGGCCACACTCAATAGAAAAATTGGTCTCATCAACACTGCCCGTGTCAATGTATGACTTAACCGCCTTGGTTAAAATGTTGAATCCGAGTTATGATGATTTTGACACCGAATAATAACGTAATAATAATAACCCCACGTATTAAGCATAGGGTGAAAAATTAAAGGAGTGAGAAATCATTCATTCGTCTGAAGTGAGTTAATCTTTTACTCATTTTCATTCAAATGTCAGGGAATTCATTTCAATTCAAAAATTCATTTCAATTCATTTTCATTCAAATTCAATTCCATTCTCATCATCATCAGGGTCCTTATACTGGATCCTGGGAGATTCCAGACAGGGTCATGTCAGTTCAAAAATTTTCCAAATTTTTTTTACAGATTTTAAAGTTTGGGAATATGATCGATTTTTGCTGGGAGAGTTTGGTTGTCAAGAAAAATAAAATGCTGTATAAAACGTCACAAAATGCACGCGAATTACTTTTAGGTGACGGTTTTGATACCGATCTTAGTTAAATTATTTTATAATTATTTTAATTTGTAATTAAATTAAATCATTGGATTTTGTGGCGTTTTATACAGTATTTTATTTTTCTTGACAACCAAACTCTCCCAGCAAAAATCGCTCATATTCCTTAACTTTAAAATCTGTGAAACAAAGTTGGAAAATTTTTGAACTGACACGACCCTGTCTAGAATCTCCCAGGATACAGTATAAGGACCCTGCATCATCATAATCAGTCACATGAATGAACGTGAACAGGTATGATCGTTTCAATTGAGCATTATGAAAAATCCGGAAACATGTTTATTTATCATAAGTAGATAAGTAATTCTCGTGGTGCCGTTAGTCATAACCAGAGCGAGAGAGCTTATCCCGACAACCCGCGAAACCCAAGTAAATATGTAAAACCCCAGGGTATGGATTTTCAATTTCAAAATCCCGGGGGGTTCGTTACCCTGGGACGGGAAATTTACACTCTGAGAAATCCGGTATTCACCATAATTTATAAAAAGCTTGTCCAAATATGCACATACCTCGACTTGCTTGTGGAAAAATTCCAGGGCCATTTTTGCCTTTCCAATCGGCACGATGAAATCTTGTAGGACAACATTTTTCTCGGAGAATTGCCTGAAAAAGGCCGGGATTAGTTTGTACCAGTTCGTCTCGCTGGTCGCGGTCCAACCGAAAAGCCAGCGCATAACGGGCATGTTGGCGTACGGCACGAGAATCTCGAGTGTCCAGAAGGCGCCGTACGTATGGCGATGATAGTAGTCCCGGAGCGGGATGTACTCCACGGTGGGGGCAGATTGAGACAAATCTTGGACGTGTTTGTAGAAGGACTTCTTGTACCAGCGGGCCACCGGGTTTATCTGAGATTTGAAATTTTGGCGGGTAGTATCAGGTAAATTATGTACGTATGTATTAAGTGGCTTCATCTAGAATCTGCTTTGTGCGAAGACTTTGTCCGCCTGTCCGTGTGCCTGTCTGTCTGTCTGTCTGTCCGTCTGTCTGTCCGTCTGTCTGTCTGTCTGTCCGTCTGTCTGTCTGTCTGTCCGTCTGTCTGTCCGTCTGTCTGTCTGTCTGTCCGTCTGTCTGTCCGTCTGTCTGTCCGTCTGTCTGTCCGTCTGTCTGTCCGTCTGTCTGTCCGTCTGTCTGTCCGTCTGTCTGTCCGTCTGTCTGTCCGTCTGTCTGTCCCTCTGTCTGTTCATAGTGGCTTCAGCTAGATTCTGCTTTATGCGAAGACCTTGTCCACCTGTCCGTGTGTCTGTCTGTTCGTCTGTCTGTCTGTCTTTCTGTCTGTCCGTCTGTCTGTCCCTCTGTCTGTTCGTCTGTCTGTCTGTCTGTCTGTAAGCAGGATAACGTGAGAACGGATCGAGATAATCGAAAACGGTTTGCGGCATCATACATATGACCCTACGGGGAGGATCATATCAATTTTTTGGGCTTACCGGACAGCACCCCCTGGCGCTAGGAGGTGTGATCAGGGCAAAATACGGGACTCTGGGTTTAATTAGTTTATATTGAGTTACAATTCAGTGGGGGGTTAATTCTTGAAATGGTGGCAACATATATATTTTCATTACTGACACAAACAAAAGAGATATTGGCGGGACAATTCGAACAAAGAAATTTGTACCTTTGTAGGTTCTGCTTTCGGCGTGAAACTCCCCACCATGATGACCCCTTTGTTCAAGGAGTACATGATCCCCTCGACAAAATCGTGCCCCGGGTTTTTTCGAGATTCTTTCGTTATCCGGGTAGTCGCCTCGTCCAACGAGTTAACCGGGATGTAGGAAAGCTTGATGTATCTGACGATGTACAGTTTCATATTAAATTAGTATAAAGATAATAATTAATAATGTGTATTTGAGACTTGATCCAGTTTTGCCTTAAGGTCACTGTGGATGCCGCGTTAATCTCAGTCTACCCCTGTTCAACGTGTTCAAACGCAAATTCTAAAATTGAATCAATTTTACTCCACGAGTTTTGAGATAAATGCAACTGTTCATATTTTAATATAAATCAAATCTTTGATACTATAAACAAGTCGATTTGAAAAAATAGCGAATTCATTTTTGACGAAATTTATAAATACATAATGAAAAAATTGCAAACGAATTGGCTATTTGTTTTTCAAACAGACTTGTTCGTAGGACTAGAAATTAGATTTAGATTAAAGTTTTGAAAGTTGAAGCTACCACAAAACTATTGGAGTTGGGTAAGTTTTAGGAACCCCGTTTAAAGACATGGGATACGGGTAGGGTCAGATTCAAAACAAGAATTTGTCAAATCAACACCGCCGGTGTCAATATATGACTTAACTGCCTTGGTCACAATTGTGATTCCGAGTTGAAATGAAATTTTTCCGTCCGGTTATAACATTATCACCACCGGTATCAAAATCATCATAACTCGGATTCAACATTGTAACCAAGGCGGTTAAGCCATATATTCACACCGGCGGTGTTGATTCGACAAATTTTTGTTTTAGTGATGTGTAAGAATTCGGCGTTTTTTTATGACGTAATATATGCACGTTCCCTGGCGAGGTTTTTTTTCGTTTACATGTGTGGAAATTTTATGGGAAAAAAGTATGTACATGGCGAATGATAACCTTGAATGAAACATGTGTCATAATTTAAGACTAGTTTTATAAGGGAGTGCTTTTGGGGAACGTGCATATATTATGTCATCAAAACAGTGGGCGCGTGGTCTTTGGTTGTACTCATGCCAACATTAACATGAGAAGGATATGGATGAGGTGGGCGATTTAAAAAATCTGAGTGTTTTTTTTAATCACGGAATATATGAACGTTCCCTTACATGTAAGACGAGAATCCTCCTCATTTACCCACCATCGTGGGAATTTTGGGTTAATGAGACAGGAAAGCGAGTTGGAACTTCATATGTAACAAATTACCATAATTACGATGTATTGGTCTGTAATTAAATACATCTGTAAAAAGGCATCGAGGAGGAACGCTTAAAAATAATGTTAGCGTTTTGAAATATATTTGATGTTAACTTTCCGGGAAGTAAATATTTAAATGCAGTAATAATGTGTACGTATTTATGTACTTGATTAGGAGTAAGTTTACTCTTGATTTTGTATACATATTTAGTGTGCAGTTTAGGTTTCAGGAGTGTGACATTACTTTTAAATACCCTGAAGTGCACTTTCTACTCTAAATTAAACAAACTTTACAGGCCAACGTTCCTTAATTGGGAGTGTATGTATGTACCTCCGGTTCTAATGGAGAACATTATTTTTAAGTTTTTTTAACAGTCATATATGTATAAGTTTTATTATTGTTATTTCCAAGATATCATTGCACACAAAATTTATTTCGAAAAAGCGAAACGACCTGATAAGTGTCTCTATCTGAATTTTTAAAAAATCTTCTAATTGTCGTCGTCCTAAAGGTAAACAATCTCATCCAACTCTCGTCCTGCTGGGAGGGAGAGATCCTAAAATCGAGGCCACATTTTTGCGCGAAACTGCGATACTTATTCTGCGAATGAGAAATATAATATATATCGTATTTTCAAGTGTGTACGTACATATGTACATACATAGTTTTGTAAGTAGGTATATTCCCACGCAAGCTTTTCCGCCTCGTGACTAAATATGTACATAGCGATGTCGTGTATTTTTTTTAGATTTAAAAACTGTTTGCATACGTGCCTACATACACACCAGAACTCGGCAGATATCGGATACTGGTACATAAATATTTATGCAGATATGTCTGGGAGCACAACTGGAGTCTTGTGATTATCCTGTAGTTAGGATTATTTACATATTTAGTTGGGAATAGTAGTTAATTGATTCTACTCACACACATAAGTGGAACAAGAGCAATGTCAGTGTCGCAGGTTTAAAATGTTTATTCAAGAGAGAGAGATGATTAACGTAATTTTGCAATTACTTATGAAATATGAATTATGATAAAATGATTATGATGAAAAACTTTGAAATAGCGTGATCGTACTGCAGCGAACGTGAATGGGTAGTGATTTAATTTCTAAGATGGCAATTTGTCGCCGACTTAAGTGGAACGTCATTGTGGGTATTTGCTGCTACATACATACATACATACACAGATCACCTTTCATGTACTTTTCATAGAGTGGCTTATTTGGAAATGATACTTTGTGAGGGTGCCCATCCCTACGGTATTTTAGTATCAGGGCACTTAGTACATACGTGCACATGTGTTTTAAAGTTTTTTAGCGTACACTTATTATGACTTTACAGATACGTATTTATAACACGCATTTCTAGTCATTTTACAATTATTTCCGTTTTTTGGAGATACCAAGCAGTTTTTGGGTGATTGAATTCTAGTTTGTGGGGTAGTTGTGAAGCATAATTTGGAGTTGCACTGGTTTTTCGAATCTTATGTTCTAAGCAGTAGGAGTGGAGATTTCCGGTATTTTAAGAGTAAACTACCACTAATATAATTGCTTTAACATGTCTAAACGCCCCATATTTTGAACGTAGAGTTCTCCTGTTTAACCCCTTGCCCGAAGCCGTTGTTAAAATTCTCTCTACATGATCAAACACATGACGACTCGATCCACCACGAACTGCCAGATAACTAATGCCGTACTTTTATCGAAAAAACGCCCATCCGCCATTTTTAGCTGATACGGCGAACATGATTTCATCACCCGGCGGAACCAACGGCTGCCCCCTTTTGGCATCTTTTTCCTGTACTCAAACATCTCGAGGGAGGCAATGCATGGAACAGCTAATAGTTTAAAATGGACGTGAATTAGTGCCGCTCCATCGATGCAGATGAGACTGAAATAGGTAAATATTTCCAGCGGAAGGGTCCCTGCTAGTCGAATGACGCTGTAGAGCGCGATCACTTCGCAAACCAACCACGCCCCAAGGAGTAGCTGCATCAAGGGAAACTTCCAAAATAAGTTCGTCAGAACTTGAAGGACTTGAACTTCACGAAATCCTACGATCCCATCTTCAATTCCTATCTTCAGTTCGCTATTACGTCAAATAATCTCAATTCATATTATCATTATGGACTAACTACACAAGTAGGATCGTTAATTACTCGGGGATAAAAGCTTAGTGCACTTTACCTCATGATCGCGTCAATCCTGAATTTTGCCGCCATCCCAGGATACACCAGGGCAATCCACCCAATCCCAAGATATATCCCAAGTATAAATATCCAGTAGTAGTACTCGACCAGCGCGAAAAAGATTTTAACACCGAAATTGACTTCTCCTAACGAAGCCCAACTCGGGCAATTTTTCGTCACCAAGGATACCGATAAGAATGACAGACACGGCCGCAGGAGAGACGCAGCCAAATAAAGGAACGGTAGGAGGAGACAGGTCCCCGTTGGGCATGCTGTCAAGCCGAGGAGTAGATTGGTCACGTAACCTTCTCGTCCCTGACACCACTTAATTTCCATATGGAACGGAAAGGTGAGCAGCGGCTTCATCCTGTTAGCTCGCAACCTGGACAAGATGACAATTACCAGAGTATATGCGGCCAAAGAATCGTAGTAAAACTGGACAATCTTCCTTCACGGTTAGGTCCTTTCTTCCTTAAAGTTTTAAAGTTTTAAAGAAATTGTTTTTGAATTTTCGTCATATCGGAATGGTAGAAATGAACATCTCAAACCCATTCGGTAACTTCGGCGGCAAGATCTGTGAATAAATTAGTATATGTGGAATTATTTAATTGTCTCCGTCATATTAAAATTTTGACCAACTTACAGTATGGGCAGAAAGTCATTACACCCTCATACTTTTTCCACTAAAAGCATGATATTGTTCAAGAAGCTTGAGGAGATGAACTGCAATTTTGCACAATAACTTACCATGATACATGGTTTCCGGAACCATACTTTGAATGACGGCGTATGACAAGCAACGACACGGTGGAATTATATCCAAAATTACGACCGGAAAAAAGTCTTTACACCCTTTGACTTTTTGGTACTTTTAGTGTAATTTTTAAAAATATCCTCTTAAATCGATCTTCACCCACAAGGTGATGTATTATTCTTTGAAAAATAACATTTTGCTAATGCTGAACTATTTGTCTGCTACCGATATTAGCTCATAATCACTCAAAAACACCTTAGCCCCGTCTTTGGGCAAAAAGTCTTAAATTTTGATGATAAAAGGCGTCGATACCAAAGAATTTCCGATTAGCTACCTGTTAAGAATTGTACAGTTGCCAGAATAGTCCAGAGCTGCAAAAAATTGGGATGGTATGGAATTGAAAAGTTTTTTCGTAGGCATAGATCAAACGCCGATGGACGGATCACGGCAAATTCTCCAGAAACAAAATCCTTCACGGTTATCTTCATCAAAAATTCACTTGGAAACTAGGGAAGAATATAGTCTTCGAGTTTCTGTTCGAATTCGTAAGAATAGGATCGGTTCAGGTAGATTTGAATAGCCAGCAACATGGAGAGATCCATTTCTCCCCGAGGCCTATATTGCAGGCAGCCATAAATGAGCTAAAGAGCATCACAATTCGACGGCTCGAGGTTAGAAACTCCTGATATTGTTCGGCGACGTCAACATCAACCGGTTAGGTTCAAACGGGAACAGTGGAATATGGATTCTACAAACAGACACTGACAAAACCAACCACCATAACCTTAACTTTAAGGAAAGGGGTGGACATCGAAAGGTTTGGGCGTCACGCCGTGGATGGGCGCCAGACATTTTGATGCAGTCGAGACAATGATGGACTCCAACTACTAGTTCGACGTTCTGGGTTGGAATTAGATGGTGACGAGAGGAAATAACCATTGGGGACTCATTTAATTTTCAAATATGAAAGTTGTCCTAGGCACTAATCAAAATTATTGGAGATTTTGTTTCTAACAAAGGAGATTGGACAGTTGGATTGCCCTACATAATAAACTAATAGCATGCTAATTAATATTTGTGGGCAACGGTGAAGCCTAAAATTGCTTAGCAGACGCTATCAAACCTCAAACGGCTGGACGTCGCCATAGCGCTTGAATTTTAGATTTTGACCACCTCCTT